GAGTTCCGACCGAAGCCAGACAGTCCCGCTTCTCCCGTTTGAGTCTGGGTCCCTAGAGACTCGCCCGGATCTGGAGCTCAGAGTCTGAAACTCCCTCCCGATTGAAAACAACAACCACGCCCTCTGCCTCCGGCCCGCTTCACATGCACTCCGCACCTTAGTATTTCACTTCAGCACTGCGCCTCCTCTGAGTCTCATGCTGCTATTCTCTTTCCTCCTAGTTGTAGAACTTCCACTCAGCCAGCCTTCCTGTGGTTCTGGATGATGTCCGTTCCGTCTTTTTGTATTTTTACTGGGATGTGCCTGCAACCAAGGTGCATGCCACTGACCGGAATTCAAACCTGGGACCCTTCAGTCTGCAGGCTGATGCTCTATCCACTGAGCCAAACCGGTTAGGGCCTTTCAATATTATTTAAAGAATTATGTTTTAATGTAGAAAATAAAGAATAGAAATAAAAATCTGAGCTGCTCTTCATTTCTTAAGAAAACAAAAAGCACTGAAGTCTTATTTTTAATGTTTTGCCTTATTATAAAGGGGATTTATCATAGATGTTTGCCAAGTTGGATTATAGGTACATCAAGGGCAGCATTTTATGACCCCTTCCTCAGATTTCATGGTTGCAAGTTAGAGCATCTAATGGGTTTACTGTAGAGCTGCACATGATATCGCACTAAAGCAGGTCATGGAGTATGAGAACAGTTGTAATGCTTAATTGTTTGACATTTTAACCAAGGAAAAAAAACACACTTTTATAGGTGTAACTTACTGTGATATTTCCTTCTATTCCCCTTCCATTCAGGTATCTCCAGGTCACCGTAGTGAAAAGTACAGCTCATGCTCAACAATATTTTTAGATGACAGCACAATTTGCCAGCCTAATGTTAGAATCACCGTGCAATGGTGAGTACAAATAGGTTGCCCAGGGCTCAGTGACAGACCCTGATGCTAAAAGGATCCTACCCATATGTAATTCCATCTGATTGTCCTTCTCAGTGATTGGGTTAAGAAACTGGTGTCAATTATGATTTCAGTTTCCATTTTAATCTTAGAGTGGATGGAAGAAGGGAAAGGCCATTGGCAAATACAAAATTACCCCCAAAAGTATTCATATTTACTTGATGCATTACTGTTGTTGAGACATTGTTAAACACCATGAAAGGAGAGGTGCTTTATATTGAATATTTCTAGAAAAAAAAGTATTTCTTTATGAGATACAGGCTTAAAACAGTGTGTACCACTTTGGAAGCTACTCTTGGAAGAAGGAATGGCTTGTCCCCTACTGGCACCAGCGTGCATCTGCATTTACATTCAATTGCTTTCCTGTCAGATTTTCCTCTGCTTACTTTTTTTTCTGCACTATTTCTATGTTAAAATTCACTTCTCCTTCCAGGAAAAATGCATTAAACCAGTCTTAAGGAACAACTTTTCAAGCTAATTTCTTTGTGGATAAAATGTGTTCAACTCAGATTTTAATTTTATAGATGTATTAAATATATATATGTATATATATACATATATGTGTGTATGTGTATATATATGTATATATGTAAAACTAAATTTATATATATATACATATCTCCAAGACACTATATCAATCCATATATAAGAAAATCACAGCAGAGAAAAATGAGAGAGGTGAAGTTTTGGAAACTTTGCCACAGTTAGGTTTATACTTAAGCAAACATAACTTCATGATGATGAAAACTATTCATTGAGTTCTGTGAGCATCACATACTCCATAATTGGAGATGCACTTTAAAAAACCTTAAGATGAAACTTTTAAGCTTATTTAAGAGCCAAAGAAAACCAAACTAGGATGTAGGGCTTCCTGAATCTCACTGGGGTGTCCAAGGAATATTATCAGTGTCTCCCTGGGATATGAGTATTGATATTCCAGAACACAGTTTGGGAAATGCTACCTGAAAATATTAATGTCCTCATTCCTAATTGTACTTTTCAGTCCTAAAAACATAATTTGTTTATAAACTTAATTTTATTTCTATTGTACCAGCTTTTTTGCTAATTAAATTATCAGTAACTTCTACTTTACTTAAAAACAGCAAGTTTACAATCATAATAATATAACTTTCTTCTCTCACTTATAACAATAGTTGAGATCAAACTGTTTCTTAGCAAAAATTGAGCCCCATCTCTACCTAAAGTCTTGAACTTTGGCAGCTGTCACATAATCGTTTAGTCTTTTTTATTCAGCCAAGACACTAAATCCATGAATAAAACAACCCACTTCACTCTGCCTCTATTCCATAGCTTCTTTTGAATCAAAGGGTTCTGATGTTGCAGTATATAATTCAAAGGTAGTTTTAAAGATTAACTGCTCAGACAAGTAGGTGTTATGCTATTTTGTTCTCCAAATTAGTCTAATTTTTGGAAGTACAATACGTTTTAATTTGTTCTCATCAAGATTTGAAAATGATCATTCAGTACATTTACTATTGATGAAATAAAGGTTTACTGAGAAAATTAATAGAGCTAATTGGCTTTTAGGAATGGTTTAGAAAAAATATTATGGGGTAGTAGTGCATTGTTCTCAATGGGGTGCGTGAGACTTATTAGAATCACTTAGCAACTTTTTTCAAAATATATGTCTCTAAACAGATGTATTCCATTCCCTCTCCCCTAACATACAAGCCTTTGGATAATCTGAGGAAGGATGGGAGGCGTATTTTATGAAGCAAAGCATACAGGGTGATTCTGATTTTAACCCTAATTCATGTGTTCTCAAACTGCACATTACAATCACCTGAGAAGCTTTCAAAACAATCCCAAGTCGTACCCAATGCCGATTAAATCAGATTATCTCAAGGTGGGAGAAGGTTGTTATTAAAGCTCCCCTGATGATCCCAATGCACAGCCAAGCCTGGGAACCACACTGCCTGGTAGAGTGTAGAAGGAGAACGGCTTCTCACTCTTGGTGGGACCTTGAGCAAGTCAGTTTTAAGCCTTGGTTACCTTCTCTGTAAAATGGGTTGTTGAATTAAATGTCATCAAAAGTTCATTGGTTCTTTTCAGTTTATGCTTCAATTCTGTGATTTTAAAATCAATTTGACATGGCTCAGTGAGGTCCCTCTGTTCGATTCCCAGTCAGGTCACATGCCTGGGTTGCGGATTCGATCCCCAATGTTCGGTGTACAGGAGGCAGTTGATCAATGATTCTCTTCTAACAGTATATTCTCTAGCGTTTTGGTTTTCTTAATTTTGCTAAAAGCTAAAGAATTACAAGGTGAAAAGTGCCCCGGCTATACTGTTCTGAATGAGGATTTCGTAGCCACTGGGCAGCTGGGAAGGTCTTCCCTCACCACATTTAAAAAATGTCTTCAGCCCTAGCCAGTTTGGCTCAGTGGATAGAGCATTTGTCTGTGGACTGAAGGGTCCTGGGTTCGATTCCGGTCAAGGGCACGTACTTGGGTTGCAGGCTCAATCTCCTGCCCTTGTTGGGGGTGTACGGGAGGTAACCGATCGATGTGTCTCTTTCACATCGATGTTTTTCTCTCTGTGTCTCTCCCCCTCCATTCCACTCTCTCTAAAAATTAATGGAAAAATATCCTCAGGTGAGGATTAACAACAACAAAGAGTCTTCAGACCTAACATAAAATCAATTGTTACAATTTTTTTTTCTCAGCCTGGCATTAGCAATATATTACCACATAAAGAACAGGTGAGTTTTTAAACCTGTCTTGTTATTCTAGCTAATAAACATACAAGATATAAAGTTTAGTGTTAGATAATAACTATAGACATTATCGGAGTAAGCTATATAGTGCTTTTATTACATTATTGAAGGGAATCATTTGTTTTTCTCTTAGGACTCTTAATGCTTAAGTTATTGAGGATCCCAAAGAATATTTGTTTATGTGGGCTATATTGATATTTACTGTATTAGAAATTAAAATTGAGGATTTAGATTAAGTCCCTTATATGTTGAAACATGTCTTTTTTTATAGCACTGTTGAAATTTTCAGCAGGATAATTCTTTGCTGTAGGGGGCTGCCTTGTGCGTTACAGGATGCTTAGCAGCATCCCTGGCCTCTCCTCACTAGATGCCAATAGCACTCTCTTCCCAGGCCACATTCTAACAACAAGAAATGCCTCCAGCCATGGCCATATGTTTCCCCGGGAGACAAATTCACCCACTAGGGAGCCATAGCATTAACATAACTCTTTATAAAAGATAATTATTTTCCACAACAAACAGTTGAGTGGAAATTGTCACATATATATTTTTGCAAATCTCTTTATGTCTGATTTAATAGAACAGCTGATTCTCATGGACACCCTGTCTTCAATCCTCGGTGATTACTTCAACCATCTCAATAATTTGTTTTGAAGAAACAATGTGAAGGCCCAGCCTCATGTTGCTCTATAGCTAGAAAAGGGTGTGTTTTTAAAGTCTTCAGATAATTATGGATATTCTTTGATACTGTACCAGAAGTCCACAAGTGTTGGTTTGTTAAATTAATTACAGTGGGATTTTAAATCATATTTATGAACTTGCAGTAGGTCTCTGTTAAATTAATACTCATTCATATATCTTATACACTGAATGAATCTTTTTACTTGTATATAATTTATAATATTATTCATTGGTCATTTGGAAAGTATTGGTTCACATTTCTTTATACAGTATTAAAGCTCACTTTTGTTAGTCAGCATCATATCAACACCAGTCTTACCAGAACAGCCTAAGTATTGAAAAGCTGTCAAGCTCACAAAAAAGGTACAATTTCCCCCTAATATTGATTTTTAGCTTGATAGCTTGAATTGTGTCATTGGCAACAAATAACACAAGTTATTTTCCTTGAAGTGACAGGCTCACTGTTCAGTTTCGAGAGAATGACAGTTGTACTATCAAATAAAGATGTTATTCAATGAAAAAAGTAGCTTGCTCAGCTCACAACTAAGTCACAAGTGCTTTTTCCTAACAAGCACATTTCAGTATGCAGAAGTGCTTAATGTATACTTTCCCTTATTCGGAATAGAAAAAGAAGAATCAGCCATTACTAATTGTTACTGCTTTATCAAAGATGTTCTTAAGTAAAGCAGAATTTGTGTTTCAACAGAGGCAGTGAAGAATAAAATGACTACTAGTACAGTGTAGTACCCCTGCCTTGATTCATTCTCACAAACCATGACTTTTGCTTTTATACAATGGTTGCAAATGTCAGTGCAAATGCAGCCAATGCCTTAATATTTCTGTAAAAATAGTTTGGCCTCATGGGTCTCCTGAAATGGTCTAAGAGAACCCCAGAGGCCTGCAAAACACACTTGGAGAACCACTGTTTAAACGAGCAGAGTATATTAGTGTGGAAAATTAAACTTAAAAGAAGAAGAAGAAGAAGACTGGTTGCCCTGGCCTGCGTGGCTTCAGTTGGTTGGGAGCATCATCCCATACACCAAAAAGGGGCGGGAGTGTTTGATTACTGGTCAGGGCCATACATCAAAAGGTGGCAGGTTAGATCCCCAGTTGGGTGCTTGCAGGAGGCAGCCAACCAATGTTTCTCCCTCTCCCTCCTCCTCCCAACCCCTTCCTCTCTCCCTCCCCCACCCCTCTCCTCTCCCTTTCTTCTTCTCCCTTTCTTCCTCTCCTTCTTCCTTTCTTCCTCTCCTTCTTCCTTTCTTCCTCTCCCTTTCTTCCTCTTCCTTTCTCTCTCTCTCTCTCTCTCTCTCTCTCTCTCCCTTCCTCTCTAAAATCAATGGACTGGTCACTTTTAAAATAAAAAGGCAAATTTTTTAACTCAGTCTATTTAAAAGTGGCGAGAAGAAATACATAATAATATAGGAAACTAAAAAAGAGAAAAAAACACAGAAAAAAATGAATCTCATATTCACGTGAACGGTTGCCCACCCCTACTGCTTTATAAAATGTTCCTGTGTCTTCCAATGTGAGCTTAGAGGAGTGGGCAATTGATTTGGTTGTCTAGCATTGCCTATTAGGGAAGGTCAATGCTTATAAAGGCAACTCTGGCTGGTCATTATAGAAAAAATTTCACAGAACTGATGTGCTGAGTAAAAAGAGGTGAGAAAATTCTTACAGAACCTAAGAGAAGAATTTGTAGAAGGACTTTGTTGAAGGTTAAGCTTCTCCCTCCACCCCTCTCTCTACTCCCAGGAGATGTGTTACTAAGATATTAACAATTCCTGGATTTGTTTCTTAAATCACTTTCTTATTTTTTAGAGATGCAAATAGATCTGAGGACATTTTTGATGAAAGGTTACATCCATTCACAGTAAGTGCCAGTTGTATTGAGGTTGTATTTCTCTCTTACAATTGTGTTTATTTTATGCTGATTTGCTTTGAAATTAATCACTAGAAGAAAATTACTCCCTCCAGCTTGAAGTCAAAATTATCTTCTTTTAAGTTTTCTTCCCCACCCCATGTTGCATCTAATTATTTTACAAAAGAAATATATAAGAAATGTGTCAGTAAGAACTGAGTTGTAGCTTTGTATAACTAGTAAGCTAAAGTAAGTCAACATGCCCCTCCCAAAAAAAGTATCTTTTTAAAAGATAATTTTCAGTAACATCAAACAATATGAATATTTGTAAATAAACCTAACAGATATGTTAAGATCTCTATGAAGAAAATTAAATAGCTGTTTAAACTTTGGGTTAATTAGAATGACAAAAGAATTTCAAATTCACTTCTTCAGATGCTCTATAGCAGCGGTTCTCAACCTGTGTGTCTCTACCCCTTTGGGGGTCGAACGACCCTTTCACAGGGGTCGCCTAAGACCATCGGAAAACACATATATAATTACATATTGTTTTTGTGATTAATCACTATGATTTAATTATGTTCAATTTGTAACAACGAAATTGGGGGTCTCCACAACATGAGGAACTGTATTAAAGGGTCGCAGCATTAGGAAGGTTGAGAACCACTGCTCTATACAGCTAGGGACCACTGATAGCATGGCACGGCCTTAGAGCCTGATGATTACAGGAAACTGAAAATACATTTTCAGAGTTGATTGCAGAAATATGACATGGTGATCAACAAGACTTTTGAACCTAAAGATGGTTTATGTTTAGATAGAATTCTATAGAAGGAAGGTGGAAAGGAACGTATCAGTTTTCTGAGGGTGTGCCTGTATTTATCTTTAATTAGAAAGGGAGAGGGAGACAGAGATAGAAACATTAATAATGAGAGAGAATCATTGATCAGCTGCTTTCTGCACGCCCCCTGCCGGGGATCGAGCCCGCAACCCAGGCATGTGCCCTTGACCAGAATCAAACCTGGGACCCTTCAGTCTGCAGGCCAATGCTTCATCCACTGAGCCAAACCGGCTAGGGCTCACTGTTGTTTTTTAAGGCCCCATTGTTTATATTTAAAAGACTAAAAGACATGTCACCCAATCAAAATTATCTTAAGCGGCGTGTGGGCACAAACAGACTATGATATTAGGGGCATGTGGGCACAAGCTATCATAAAAGTACTTAATTGTTTTTCTTCAGTGGATACTTACTTTGCATTTTTTCTCCTTTCAGCAAGAAATAGTTCCAGAGGAATACTTTAATCATAATCCTGATTCCGAAAGTATTTACAGATTTATTCACCCTTTTTTCAGTGCCACAAAGCTAACAGCTGAATGGGCAATAATAACCTTGGTAAGATAGTTCTTTCAGAAAGCATCTTTTCTGTCGTGTCCACAGGGTATGATCTTGTTTTTCAAATACTAGTAAAAGTAGGTTCCTGAAATGATCATCAGAACTTTATTAAGGCAAAATTGTCAAAGGAAGTAAAATACACACATTTGACCTTAATAATCATGATTTAAAATGTCCTTGCTTTTCTCATCACAACACAGTTGCTTTTAAAGGCAGCAGGAGAAATACCCGGTTTCTTCCTCCACACCTCAGTGCACACACAGGCACACATACAAGGCGTGCTGTGGCGTAGGATGGGGGCAATAGCAGACCCTCTGGGCCCCAGGCAGTGACAGGTTCAGTGTAGGTCTAAGCTGAGTTGCAGGCTGCATTCCCCAGGCAATTGTAATGTGTGTCCTGGTTGAGAACTAGAGCCCTAAGTTCTCTGTTCCTTGGATGATGGGTGTTCATCCATCCTTGCTGTCCTCTTGTGCCTGCCTGTGACGTTGCCCAGGATTCTAGTGCTAGTAGGATCTAAAAGGGCTTTGCTAGTTGTCTGCTCAGCTACAGCTGTGTAAGGACCATTGTTTCATTCATACAGAATTCCTAAAGTAAGATTTTATCAGTTGGAATGAGTGGTCCATTCTAGTGAGAAGGGATGGGGATTGTATGACTCCTCCCTCGGGCAGTCCTAAAGGGGAAAGTCTCCTGCATGGTCTGGAGGGAAGAGTACTTGGGTCAGTGCCTCCTCCTTCAGTTAACATTTTGGAGAGGCAGCCTGTGCTTCTGAATAGAGACCCTCAATGGGCACTGGATCAGACACAGGCCTTTCCATGGAGCTGCCAGCCATGTGGAGTGCTGAGCGCATGCTGGGGAGAGGCAGGAGTGGTGCTCTCATAGGGAGAGCTAGGTAATACAGGAAGGAGGGCGTCTGGGTGGGAAGAGGGTGAGTCCTTTGTAGGCGAGTTTGGTTTGATGCACCTGCGAGACAGCAGAGGGGCAGTCTCTAGTAATGGTTTGAATATATGGAATTAGCATGAATCTGAGCTACAGTAGGAAATTAAGATTAGCTGTTCCAATGCAGAGAAAGGCTGTAAATGAAAAGTGTATAGACGAGAGAATAGTGACAAAGAGTTAGATATTCAGTGGCTATTTATGGAGTGAGCAACTTCTTGACAGCATTTTGACCACACTCTCTTGACCTCACCTATCTTGCCTTCTTTTTTATTATTTTCTCCTGGCTTTTCCACCACTCTAAGCCTTTTCTGGGGACTTCTTCCTTCAGTGCTGATGGTCCTTACAGATCTAAGTGCTGAGGATAGAGGAGAAACAAGGTTGAATAAAGTTTTTTGCTTTTATTGAGCTTATATTCTTATAAGGAAGACATACATATTTCTTTAAATGAGTTTTGTTAAAAAGATGAATATTTCAGGTAGTAGTAAATACCAAGAAGGTAGAGCAGGGTGAAGTGATAAAGTGATGACAGGCGCTTGCAACTCTAGATAGAATGATCAGGAAGAGCCTCTTTAAAAGATAACATTTGAACCCTGACATGACTGAACTGAGACAGATGAGCTCTGGTGTGATAGACAAAGGAGACAAGTGCCAGATTCGGAGATAGGAACGTTTTGTGTATTCGAGGAACAGTGAGGTATGGCCAGTGTGGTCAGTGTGTGGAATGAGGGAAAGAATGTAGGACATGAGAGCATGGAAGGGCAATGTCCTATCTTATAGGGCTTTGTAGCTTCCAGGTCATGGGAATAAGTTACATTTTCATTTGTTTGACGGGAAACCTTTGGCAGGTATTTAGTAGGGGAGTGAAGTGCTCTTAATTAAAGAGGCTCTCCTGGCTGCTTTGGGGAGAATAGATAGTAACTGGGAGGCCGAGTGGGAGCCGAGAAGCCAGTGATACAGGTGAGAAGTGACAAATAGAAAGTGGTCTGATTACAAGAATTGCTAACAGATTGGAGCAGGTTAACACAATTGAAGGTTTTGGCCCAGCACCTAGGCAATGGCGTGCCCTTTATGACATTAGGGAATGCTTGGGGGGTGGAACTGGGTAAAGAGCTCGGATTTGTATGGGCAAAGGCACTAATGACCTTAGCATTGTGCTTTCGGGAGAGTGACAGTGCCAGGTAGACCGCAGTGGGTTAAGGAGAGAATGAGAGATGAGAAGCAGCATCTGCATTCACTGTGAGCAAAAGGAGAGGAAGCTTTCTAGAGGTTGGGGGTGGGTGGGAAGCACGTAAACACATATTGGGGAGAATCTCTGGCAGACAGGGAGGGTTCTTCAAAAAGAGGTAATTGTGGGCGGTGTTCTTCAGAAGTGGGATGGGATTGACTTCACTGCTAGAAGAGTTTCAGTGAGAAGAGAAATCTCAATTCCACTGACACAGGAGGGCAAGTGGTATAAATGAACGAGTATTGGCACATACCACATCTGCGGTAAAGATGATGGGAATTTGAGAGATTGCCAGTGTTGTATAAGTGCCTCTAATTAATCCCATAAAGTAGACAGTTGAACTTTGTAAGGAGGTTCATTCTTAGGATATCTGAGAGCACTGAATTTTGAGGGGGGGGAGAGGGTTGGTGGAAATTTTCACTAAGCATGCATAATGTTCAATAACCATTTGTTTTTTAAAAATACAGTGGAGTTTGAAGAGCAATAGCAAATCAAAGCTGTCAATCTGATAACCTCCGACAGTAAATATACTCTTTAAAATTGGACATTTTTCTTTTTGTAAAATGGCATGCATACTCTTCTGTAAAGCACCCTTTGAAATAACAACAAATCCCAGCTTGCCTCTATAATCTGTATTTAGCTGTTAACTTCACCCAGTTCTTTGTAGAATAGACATGTAATACATGTGAGGAATTCATGAAACCTCACCAGCTACCTGGAGAGCCAGGGAGATAGAGACTGGCAGCTCTGCTACCACCTGAAACCAACAGAACAGGTTGTGTAAGACAGAGGTGGAGATCATAAAATGATGATGGAGATGTGAAGATTAGGGGCTATAAAAGGGCTACCCCTTGTGTGCATGTGTGTTTCTTACAAAGGCACTAAGTCCAGGATTACTTGACAGTTGTAAAGACCTGCCTCAAGCACACCTGTTTGTACTGCCTGTCCTGCTGCACCACACAGCAGCCACTGGGGGGCTGTCTTGATGACCAGGGTTTATCTTCAGCTTGTGCCACAAAAGGACTAGTTAATATGTAAAGAAGATACAAATGTGGTCAGTATTACCAGGGATTTACATATACAAGTACTATATAAAATCACCATATAACTACCAGCCAGGTATGAAACAGTGCACGTGATAGGCACTTGAGTATCTACACTGGGCCCTTTACAAGTGGAAAGGTAGTAACATTTCTTCAGGAAGTCCTTTGCTAGGATGTCCATTCATTCCTGTGACCAAAAATTGGACTGGAAATTCACATGGCAAAGTAGGCAACAGAAGTATCTCATCTGCAACTGTAACTTGGTCTCTGGCTTTGGCTGGCCAAGCAGTCTCCATAGAACCCAAGAATAAAAGGCATGTCAAAAACAGGTGAAAGTTTAAGTTCTTACTATAGCACTTAAACCCTGAAATAAAACCAAAGACCAGTGTTCTACTTTTGCAGGTTTACTTAGAAAGACTTTTAATTTATGCTGATATCGACATTTGCCCCACTAACTGGAAAAGAATTATTTTGGGAGCTATTCTTCTTTCCTCCAAGTATTTGCATGATCAGGCTATAAGGAATGCAGACTTCTGCCAAATCTTCGAGGGCATTACAGTCAAGGACATGTGAGTTAGCAAGGTTTTTGTGAACTTTCTTACCATTTTCCAATAACTTGTTTGCTCCAATAAAGTTTACATATTAAGAAATATTTTTAAAGGTTACATTATGCAGAGAACTGAAGTAGGCATAAAATTACATACATTTTTAATCTACATTTGCTGTAACAATTCATATTCCTCATTAACTATTAGGTCTTCATGTATTATTGTTATAATAATCTGTGATAGTTTGAAATGTATTTCTCTGGTGGTTATTGGCAACCATTATACAAACTCACTTCTGAGAACAACAGTACTTTAAATATATTCATGGCTTTCTTAGAGCAGTCTGGCTACCAGTTCCAGTCCTTCTCTCCCCCCCTTTATTATTATTTATTTGTTTCAATAAGACTTTTCATTCAGTATTATTTTGTATTAGTCTCAGGTGTACAGCATGGTGGTTAGAAAATCATATACTTTACAAAGTGTTTTCCCCAATATTTTCAGTACAACTTGGCACCATACATAGTTATTACAGTGTTATTGACTATATTTCCTATGATTTAATTTGCATGCCCATGACTGTTTTATAACCAATCTGTACTTCTCAGTACCTTCACCTTTTTCACCCAGTTCCCCTCCCTCTTCCCTTCTGGAAGCCATCAGTCTGTTCTCTATATCTATGAGTTTGCCTTTGTTGTATGTTCATTTATATTCTTTAGATTCCACATATAAGTGAAATGATATGGTATTTGTACTTTTCTGATTTAGTTCACTTAGCATAATACCCTGTAGGTCCATCTGTGTTGTCACAAATTGCAAGATTTAATTCTTTTTTATGGCTGAGTAATATTCCACCACTTTTTAATCCATTCATCTGTTGATTGGCACTTGGGTTGTTTCCATAGCTTAGCTATTGTAAGTAATGCTGCAATGAACATAGGGGTGAATATATTCTTTTGAATTATGCTTTGGGCTTCTTCGGATATATATACCCAAAAGTGGAATTACTGAGTCATAAGGCAGTTCCATTTTTAATTTCTCAAAGAAATGCCATACTGTTTTCCATAGTGGCTACACCAATCTACATTCCCACCAAAAGTGCATGAAGGTTCCTTTTTCTATACATCCTCACCAACACTTGCTGTTTGTTGATTTATTGATGGTAGCCATTCTGACAGGTGTGAGGTGATATCTCATTGTGGTTTTAACTTGCATTTCTTGGATGATTAGTGATGTTAAGCATCTTTTCATATGCCTATGGGCCATCTGTATGTCTGCTTTGGAGACATTGAGGTCCCCTGTCCATTTTTTAATTGGATTGTTTGTTTATAGATGTTGAGTTGTATAAGTTTTAATTTGTAAAAAATGTTTACAAGATTTTTATTAATTGAATTATTATTTTTTTAGAGAGAGGAAGGAAGGGAGAGAGGAGAGAGAGAGAGAGAGAGAGAGAGAGAGAGAGAGAGAGAGAGAGAAACATCAATGTGAGAGTGAAACACTGTTTGGCTGCCTCCTGCACACCCCCTACCAGGGATCAAGCCTGCTACCCTGGCATGAGTTGTGTAAGTTTTTTATAAATTTTGAATATTAATCCCTTATATTATTGTCAAATAATGTTTTCCCATCAGTGGGTTGTCTTTTTATTTTGTTGATGTTCTCCTTTGCTGTGCTAAAACATTTTAGTTTGATGTACTCCAATTTGTTTATTTTTTCTTTTGTTACACTTGCTTGAGATGCTCTATAAAAAAAAACATATTACTAAGGGAAATGTTCCAGATTTTACTGCCTAATGTTTTCTTCTAGGAGTGTTATGGTTTTGAATCTTACATTTAAGTTAATAATCAATTTTGAGTTTATACTTGTATATGGTGTAAGAAGGTGGTCTAGTTTAATTTTTTTGTATTTATCTGTCCAAATTACCCAACACTATTTATTGAATAGACTGTCTTTACCCCATTATATGACCTTCTCTCCTTTGTCAAATATTAATTGACCATGTAGATGTGGATTTATTTCTGGGCTCTCTATTTTCTTCCATTTATCTACATGTCTGTTTTTATGCCAGTACCATGCTGTTTTGATTACTATAACCTTGTAGTGTAGTTTGATATCAGATAGTGTGATACCTCCATCCTTGTTCTTTTTTCTTGAGATTGCTGTGACTATTCGGGGTCTTTTGTGGCTCCATATAAAATTTTGGATTATTGTTCTATTTCTGTACAATACACCATTGGTATCTTGATAGGAATTGCATTGCATCTATAGATTGCTTTGGGTAGTATGTACATTTTAAAGATGCTCATTCTTCCTATCCATGAGCATGGCATATGCTTCCATTTACATGTATCTTCTACAGTTTTTTTTCTTCAGTGTCTTATAATTTTCTGAGTACAGGTCTTTTACCTCCTTGGTTAAATTTATTCCTAGGTATTCTGGTGGGTGTTTTTTATGCAATTGCATATGGATTGTTTTTTAGTTTCCCTTTCTTTATTTTTAATCTTTATTGTTGAAAGGATTACATATGTTCCCCTTTTTCCCCCCTTTGACCTTTCTAGCCCACCCCTGCCCCCTCCCCAAGCCTTCACTACCCTCTTGTCTGTGTCCATGGGTTATGCTTATGTACATACACATTCTTTGGTTGATCTCTTCCCACCCACCGACCCTCCCCTAGCTTCCCTCTGAGATTCCACTGTCTTTTCCATGCTTCTATGTCTTTGGATCAATTTTGTTCATTGGTTTATTTTGTTCATTAGATCCCACTTATGAGTGAAATTAGTGGTACTTGTCTTTCCCTGACTGGCTTATTTTGCTTAGTATAATGCTCTCCAAGTCCTTCATTGCTATTTCAAAGGGTAAGAGATCCTTCTCTTTTACTAATAGTTCATTATCTATAATAATAAAAGTGTAATATGTTAATTAGACCAGAAGTCCTTCCGGACGAAGCCGGGGCTGCGAGGTGAAGCCTGGGTCCCGGGTGCCTGCCAGCAGCCAGAGGGAAACCTGGGTCCCAGATGCCAGAGAGAAGCCAGTGCTGGCAGCCAGGGGAAGGAAGGCCTACTCTTGCACGAATTTCATGCATCAGGCCTCTAATTGTACAAAAATGCAACTGATTTCTGATTGATTTTGTATCCTGCTACTTTACTGAATTCATTTATCAGTTGCAGTAGGTTTTTGGTGGAATCCCTAGGGTTCTCTATATACAGTATCTTGTCATCTGCAAATAATGCCAGTTTGCTTCTTCCTTTCCAATTTGATTGCCTTTTATTTTTTTCTTATTGTGTAGATTGCTGCAACTAGAACTTTCAGTACTATTTTGAATAAGAATGATGAAAGTGGATATCCCTGTCTTGTTCCTGATCTTAAGAGAAACTATTTGAGTTTTTCTTCATTGAATATGATGTTATCTGTGTGTTTGTCACATATGGTCTTTAATATGTTGTGATATGCTCCATCTATTCCCACTTTGCTGAGAGTTTTTATCACAAATCAGTTATGGATTTTGTCAAATTCTTTTCTGCATCTATTGATATGACCATATGGTTTTTATCTTTCATTTTGTTTATGTGGTGTAGCATGTTAATTGATTTGCAGGTATTGTACCAACCTTAAGTCCCAGGAATAAATTTCATTTGATCATGGTGTATGATCTTTTTAATATATTGCTGAATTCGGTTTGCTCACATTTTGTTGAAGATTTCTGCATCTACGTTCATCAAGGATATTGTACTTCAATTTTCTTTCCTTGTAGTGTTTTTATCTGGTTTTGGAATTAGAATAATGCTGGCCTCTTAAAATAAGCTTGGGAGTTTTCAGTCCTCTTAAACTTTTTGGAATAGTTTGGGGATTAGTGTTAGTTCTTGAATGTTTGGTAAAATTTGCCTGTGATGTCATTATGTCCAGGCCTTTTTTTTTGTTGAAAGTTTTTTTATTACAGCTTAGATTTCACTAGCTGTAATCAGTCTGTTCAGATTTTCTGTTTCTTTTTTATTCTGTTTTGGAAGATTGTCTGTTTCTAGGAATTTACCCATTCCTTCTAGATTGTCTAATTTGGAAAATAGTTGTTCATAATATTTTCTTATAATCCTTTGTATTCCTGTGGTGTCAGTTCTTCCTACTCCTGTTTCATTTCTGTTTTTTTTCTTCCTACTCTTTTATTTCTGTTTTTATTTATTTGGGTTCTCTTTTTCTTAATGAGTCTGGTTAAAGGTTTATCAGTCTTACTTGTTTTTTTTCCAAATACCCAGATCTTGGTTTATTGATTTTTTTGTATTGTCTTTTAATTTTTAATTTTATTTCCACTCTGGTCTTTATTATTTCCTTCATTCTGTTCACTGGGCATTGTTTATTGTTCTTTTTCTCATTCTTTTAGGTGAAAGGCTGGATTGTTTATTTGAGATTTTTCTTGTTTCTTGAGGTAAGTTTGTAATGCTGTGAATTTTTCTCCTCTTAAGTCTGCTTTTGGTATGTTGAATAGATTATGTATTTCCATTTTCAGTTGTCTCAAGGGATCTTTTGATTTCTTTCTTGATCTCATTTTTAACCCATTTATTGTTTAGTTACATGTTATCTAGCCTCCATGCATTTGTGTGTTTTTCCATTTATTTTGTAATTGACTTCTAGTATGATACCCTGTGGTCAGAAAAAATACTTGATATGATTTCAAGTTTCTTAAGTTTATTGACATTTGTTTTGTGTCCTAACGTGTGGCTTATTGTAGAAAATATTCTATGTGCACTTGAAAATACTGTATATTCTGCTTCTTTGAGGCTAAATGCTCTGAAACTATCAATTAAATTCAGATGGTCACCTGGCCAGAGCATCGACCCATGAACCAAGATGTCCCAGTTCAATTCCTAGTCAGAGCACATGCCCATGTTGCCGGTTCACTCCCCAGTAGACGGTGTGTAGGAGGCAGTGGGTCTTCTTTCTCATTGATGTTTCTCTCTATATATCCCTCTTCCTCCACCTCTCTCTAAAATCAATAAGAACATATATATTTTTTAAGTTTTTAAAAAATCCATAAGGTCTAGTGTATCCTTAAGGCTGCTCTTCTTGTTGATTTTCTGTCTGGAAGATCTAGCCGTTGGTGTCAGTGGGGTGTTAAACTTCCCTGTGATGACTGTACTACTGTGGATTTCTTTCTCTATGTCCATCAGGATTTACTTTATATATTTAGGTGCTCCTCTGTTGGGTGCATAAATGCTTACAAGGGTTATATCCTTGTAGGGTATGAGCTGCTGAGCAGGAGCTTACCACACGAAACAGAATTCGCCTCAGCAGGGTCTGGTGCTTCCCAAGATCTCCCTTTGGATGTGCTGCTTGTGAAGTTAATTGGGTCCTTGGACATTATCTGGAACTGGCCACTGAGTGTGTTGGTTCTGAAGTCTCGTGGTATGTAGGTCCGTGTAGGTCAGTGTCAGTCACTGCCTAGTGCCTGTGACTGGCCCTCGGCAATCATTTTGGAGCTACAGAGCAATCCACAGTTTGTGGCTGGCCATGGTTTGATTGGTATGCATGCGAAGGCCAAGCTGCTCACCAAGGATACCTTCCACTGAGTTTTGGTGCAAGTCAGCAAAAGGCCCAAAAGGCAGGAGAAGGCCACTTCGAGATCTGCTTTCTCCTGCTTCCACCTGTAAGCTGCCTGTTAGGCTCAGTCACTGAAAGAGCCTCTGGTGGTACCGAGTTGGGTTAGGTAGGTTCTAAGTGAGTCATCAGGTATAGATGAGTAATGTTCACTGGACTGATACATATTCAAACTTGGTGCCAGTGCTGAGTCTCAGGCCACTCAGAAAAAATTCTCAGGGTGCACCAAGGCCAGATGCTGGGTGCTCACAGACCTTTATGATGTGCTGGGATCTCAGGGAGTCATCTGGGGGTCAAGCAGCAGAGTTTAGACTGAAACAGACCAAGCGTTGGCCATGTGAAGGGATGTCTCTGCACAAGTTGGGTATGCAATGGAAAATTGGCCCCTGACTTAGAGCCACAGAACCCAGTCTCTGACATACCCTGAATCTGCTAGACCTCTACACCCTGGGCCCAGGTAGCTGAATTTTCCATAGGGTGTGAGCACCACAGGGTGGGATGACAGAGGGTCGGGAAGGTGGGGCTAGTGCATTCCCTCAGGCAAATGTCATAGAAGAGTCCTCAACCCAAGAAAGATGACTTGTGCGGGCAGTGTGGGAGAGGGACTCAGCACAGAGATCCTGGCAGCTGTCCCTTAGCTCTCTCCCCAGAGCCACACAATCCAGTCTCTTCTCACTAGTCCACTCCAAGCCACCCTCCCTCTGTCTAAGCTCAGGGCAAATGGCCACAAAAAAGATTGTGTGCTGGTCTTGAAGAGGGCACCTGGATTTCTAGCAGATTCCTATCTCCCGTCTCTCCCTGGAAGACAGATCCCTGCTTATTTTCACAGCCAGACATTATGTGGGCTCCTCTTCCCAGCTCTGGTGCTCTGGGCTGGGTAGCTTGGCATGGGGCTGAGACCCCTCGCTTTTAAGAAGGGACCTTTGTAGCTGAGATATCCCTATGGATTCTCAGACACTGCATGTGGGTGCTGGGGCCAGCCCTTCCTTCCAGTGTCACGGTGGCTTCTTCATAAATCCTTGGTTATAAGAAATCTGTTCAGGTAGTCTTCAGTTGGTTATTCGGGTTGAATGTTCTATATTTTAGTTACAATTCCAGTTCAGTCCTGGGAAGAGGTGAGTATAACTTTTACCTATTCTGCCACTCATCCCACCCAGTGTTTTTCTGTTGTTTCCAGTCCACTTTTAAAGGGCATACATCTGGCCTTTGAAATAAGTGTTTGGCCACTGTTATGGTCTTAGGGCCTCTAGACTATTGACGGGTGGTTATAGCTTAAATCTGAGTCACACAGTATATATTTGCATTTACTTGTCTTTTCCTCCTTTATATCTAAAGTCATGTTGTTAAAGAAACCATGGTAGAAAAATAACCACATATAGAGGTTTCAGGTTCCTGTGCTAGCCCCTGCTTTTTAAAGAGCATTGCACGTATTTGAAAGTAGGTCTGATGATTTAGCAAGCTCTGACCTCTCAGGCAAGCGGAAAAGTCTAAGTTCTTCACATAATAGTGTAAACTGAAGAGTCACGGTTATCTTGCTGGTGGCCATTAGCAAACTATGTGACAGCAGATAATAAACTTGAAACAAATGGAAGTACTTTTGGAAGTTGCAGAAGCTAAAGTGACCTTGACACCACTGTCATCAGTCTTCAAACTGGTCCCTTGGAGGAAGTATAATTTGTGCTCATGAACACTAGCCCTGCCATGATGGCCACTGAGATTTTCTCAAAACCTGCAACTCAACTGGTGGGGCTCTGGTTCTAGTTATAACATCAGAGAACATGCAGAGAAATGTATGAGTTTACATAGATGTGAGCCCTAGAGGAAATGGTGGCAGTATCAAGCCGCAGACTCCTTGTAAAGAATGCTTTGTGTGTATGAACAGAGAAATACCAGGAGCTATGTTTATAATAGGCTGCTTTTACTTATGATCTTTGGGAATTGGAAGGTATTATAACAGTGCTTAGTATACATTGGTGTCAAGCCCCTGCTGCTGACTACTATTTGTAATGTTCTCTTTTGAATCTAAATTGAAAAATTGGTGTCTATCAGCTTTTCCTTAAAACTTTCCAACATCTATGTATCTTTTTAGAATATTATTTCCCTTCAAAAGAATAAGTTAAACTGAGCAGCTGCTATTCAGAAAATGTGTTGTGTTTGTAAACGGTATGCCATTCAGCTGTCTCGCCATTGAAAAACCAAAAAAGCCCATAAAAATCAACCCAAAAACAAAAAAACCCAGATGATGCATAATCTTTAGACATAAGGCTTTTCTTCCATGATTAAGCCTCTATTAATAGACTGGTAATCCTATGAAGGTACTATATTTCTTCACAATTAACATGTATTAGTGAAGGAAATATAAAAAGGATGGTAAAGTGCATTTATTTCTGTAGTAAATTAAGTTCTGTTTAGCTGATTATCAAAACATTATCTGATTTACATTTCTATAGGCTTATGGTCATATGAACAGGGAATTAATTTTGGAAGTAGGTTCACTAGGTTAAAGTTTAACAAGTGAGAAAACCTCATCTCTGCTTATATTCTGACCCCTCTCCATGCAGGAGAACATCAAACTTTTGTTGACCTATCCAATGAATAAAATACTAAAACTTTAAAACTAAGACATCAAATATGTTTTAAAACCCTCTCATGTTTGTTCGGGTAGTTACCATTTTATTAATTAATTCTATCAAAGGATGACTGGAAGTAGTACAATTTACTAATTTTATTTAACTATTTGGCAAGTGACAGCAGTATGGTCACATAGCAAAGGACTGCTCCCAAATTTCCTTTCCTTTCCTGCTTTATTGAACTCACCTCTTCTGTTCCGGCAAGGGTCAGGGGATGCCGAATGTCTCGGGATTCCATTCCCAACACAGGAGAACTCTGAGTCTGACTCCCATGCTCTATTAGTCCAGCCAAAACATCTGTCTTTAATCTTTCTGCCTTCCAAAGTTTTAAAAGTGCATCCAGTTCTGTCATAGTGACAATTTCTCACCACAGGAAGATTAAAGTGAACAGAAGCTTGCATATGCTCTTTGACATTAGCCCCAGGCCCCAGGGGAGGAGGTCCCTTTCCCATCAAATGTGAAATATTTATTTATGTATGTATGTATGTATGTATGTATGTATTTACTAGAGGCCCGGTGCATGAAAATTATGCACAGGAAGGGTCCCTAGGCCTGGCCGGTGATCAGGGCCGATCATGTCCCCCCACCTCCCTGCCTCCTCCTTCCCTCACTACCTCAGCACCCCGCTGCCACCTCTGGTCACCCGCCATGTTCCACGCTACCCCCTGGTGGTCAGCGCACGTCATAGTGAGCGATCAAACTCCTGTTCTTCCAGTCGAACTCCCGAAGGAACACTTTGCATATTAGCCTTTTGTAGATATAGATTTATTAGCGATGAATCCTTGTTGCCTGGAGTTTCCCCCCTCAGAGATAATAGTGGTGGCTCTCAGTGGATTCATTTGTTGCCATGGTGATGTGCCCACTCCTTTGGTTGGCACCTCTCTACTTTAATAAGCCCCTTCCTGTTATTGGCCTGGTGAAAATGTCTGCAAGTTCCTCAGAGCCTAGAAACAGCACACATCATTCCTTTCTTCTGAACACTAGAGTGAGGCCCTGTGAGTGAGCGAGGAGCACGAATCTACAGCTGCACTAATGGGACTTAGATGAATGAGCCCCGAGTCAGCAGCAAGAGTGAACAAGAGAGGGGACCTCCTCACCCTTGCCCGAAACTCAAAGTGCTAGAGGCAAAAGGGACCACAAATAGCTGTACCTTGTTTGTTGTTTGAACAGTCGTGTATTTGTATAGCCGGGTAACCTTTATTTGTTTCAAAGCAAAACTTACAGCCATCTTAGTAGCTTAGAAGGATAATTTTGAAGATAGCCTCGTTAAATAAAATTGTCCCATGTTGGTTTTGTGTTTTCCTTCTTCCCCAGAAGTGACTTGGAAAGGCAATATTTATATCTACTCCAATTTCGTCTTAATGTTTCTGCCAGTGTCTATGCCAAATACTATTTTGACCTTCGGTCCTTAGCCAGTGACCACGGGCTGCCTGTTGTGTTTGCTCCTCTTCGAAAAGAAAGAGCACAGAACCTAGAGGTAAGGCTGTTTTCTGCCAAACATCAAAACCAACATCTGTGGATAAGTCATATTATGTAGTGACTAGGAAAATTAAAAGTTTTTTTAAACTAACACATTGAAGATTTATTAACTCTTTCACATCGTATTGCCGGTATCTTTTATGGTTTATTTGAGAATCCCACATTATAAAAAAAAAAAATTTATCTCTTCTGTGACCATGATTCAGAATAATTTAAATCAAATTTAATCTTTGATGGTTTTTTTACACTGTTCTTTTTTTTTAAATATATTTTATTGATTTTTTACAGAGAGGAAGGGAGAGAGATAGAGAGTTAGAAACATCGATGAGAGAGAAACATCGATCAGCTGCCTCCTGCACATCTCCCACTGGGGATGTGCCTGCAACCCAGGTACATGCCCTTGACCGGAATCGAACCTGGGACCTTTCAGTCCGCAGGCCGATGCTCTATCCACTGAGCCAAACTGGTTTCGGCGACTGTTCTTTTTTTCTAACCATACATAAATAATGTCTTACAATTGTATCACTAATCATATCTACAAATATAATCTACTTACCACTCTTAACTCAGTTTGCAAATCCATGTCTTTTCTGTATATATCACAGTTCAGTCCAATGAGTCTGTTAGACAAAGCTAACCTGAGAGACCTATACTTAGATTGTAGAATGTGTTTCAAACACTTGGTGTAGAAAGTAATGGGTTCTTAATGGAAATTGTAAAGTGCATGGCACAAAGTAATATTTATGACTTAAGACTTTGGTTTGTATGCAACAAAATTATTCACAACTAAAATTGACACTTTTAAAATGGAAACTTTCTGTGGTACTTTGGTGGTACTTTAGAATAAGATGTGTTTCCACCTCAGTTAATGTGCAAGTGAAATAGTACCTTATGGTGCTTCAATCATTAGACCTTTCCTACCTTTCAACAAAGTACAGCACATGCCTGTCTCATTAAAATCTGCTTAAAGTATATACTAACTAATAAAGATTGGATAGAATTTAAATAGCTGAGTAAACACTGATTTTCCCAAGTGTATGTTTATTATATTTAAGGAACCAAGTTTACAGGCAGCAGATGATATTGTTGTTAGGAACCTGTCATGCCTTTGACATCGTTGAGAAAACCCAAACTTTAAAAAATTCTAAGTTCCCCTTTGTGCTGGAAATCTAATCATAGTCCCTAAATGACTTACCTTAGTGAATTAGCATAAAGTAGATCTCAAGGACCTAGCAGTGTAGACCACACCTTTACAAAGAGGCAGTAACTATAATCCATGTAAAAAATTGGACTGTGTGGCTTATCAGTGATGCTTTCTTTGGGAAGGCTGCAACTCTTGCATTTTTAACGTACCTGTGCTCTATCTCATTTCTCCTCCTAGGCCATTTCCAGATATTGTGAAAACAAAAACCTGTGCAGGGTGGCTATAAAAAAATCTAGCAGCTGTGATAATTTTACTGATATGCAGTATGCCAACGCCATTTTATCTTAAACTAGAAATGAGGGGCTGTGACATGATGAACCCCTCATCTACAATAACTGGAGAAATGTTAGCGCTCCTGCTCAAAAACCAACAAAGCTAGTATTCCTCACCAGGGAGAAATGAGGGGTTGTAATATTATAAGCCCTTTGTCTACAAGGTGAAGAACTAAAAAAATATCACCTTTCCTGCTCAAAAACCAACCAAGTTAGTATTTCCTCTCTTAAGGAAGAAATGAGAGGTTGTAACATCATCAACTTGTCATCTACAAAAATAAGACCTGGAGATAGACATATCACCTTTCCTGCTCAAAAACAAGCAAAGTTGGTATTCTTCTCTTATAAAAAAAATGAAGCGTTATAACTTCATGAACCCTCATCTGCAAGGGCATGGACTGGAGAAATGTCACCTCTCCTGCTCAAAACCCAGCAAACTTTTTCTCTCTTAAGAAAGAAATGAAGTATTGTAGCATCATGAACCTCTCACCTACAAAAAGAACTGGAAAAATATTAACTTATTGCTCAAAAACCAGCAAAGCTATTATTTAAATTGATTTTTAGAGCGGGAGGAAGGGAGAGAAAGAGAAACATCGATGTGAGAGTGAAACATCAATCAGCTGTCTCCTGCACACCCCCTACCAGGGATCCAGCACACAACCTGGGCATGTGCCCCAACGGGGAATCAAACTTGCAACCCTTTGCTGAACAGAATGACACCCAACTGCTCCTGTTCAAAAACCAACTTACCCACACGAGCCCGGGCTTATTTGCCTTATTTGCACTTTTAATGAAAAAAAGAGGGGCTGTGTCATCGTGAGGCCCTCATCTGCAAGTATGAGGACTGTAGAAATATTACTTCTACTCAAAACCCAGAAGAAGGTAAGTGTTTCCTATCTTGAAAGAGAAATTAGGGTTGTATCATTATGAGCCTTTTATCTACAAAAACAAAAATTAGAGAAATATCACCTCTTTTGCTCAAAATCTAGCAGTTATTATTTCCGCTCTTAAGGGAGAGAAGAGGGGTTGTAACATTATGAGCTGCTCATCTACAGTTACATGAGAAATAGTAACTATCCTGCTGGAAAATGAAAAGAGAACCCACTAAATAGAAGAACATATTCACCAATGATACATTCCAAAATATATAAAGTACTCATACAACTCAAACCAGGAAGACAAACCATCCAATTAAAAAATGGGCTAAGGACCTGAATAGACACTGCTCTAAAAGGGCATACAGGTGGCCAGTAGACAAGAAAAAATGCTCAAGGTCACTAATCATCAGAGAGATGCAAATAAAAAATCTCTTAAAAGTGAAATGAATAGTTGTAACATCATGAGCTTCTAATCTAATCTAAAACAAAACAAAAACCCTCAAGATATATCACCTTTCCTGCCCAAAAATGAGCTGTAGGACTCTTATAAAAAATGAAGCGTTAGTATTTTTAATTTCTGTTTTGATTATTTTAATTACTACAGGATATTACATTTGTTTATTTTTGCTTTCATTTTTGGAGAAAAAGGAAATTATCTTTTAAATTTTTTAAAAAGTTCTAGTTAACCTACATGACATTCTCTTTTGAGCATTGGTACTCTCATTTAGAAAGTTTAAAGTATATTTCTATGTACTAAAGTTTCAAATGCTTTAATGTTTACTTTGATATTGGGGGGGAAAGCGATTTTTTTGACATTAGAAAATTTCTTAAATATTTTTTGTTGTTTCCTAAAGCAAAATGGATACTTTTTTTTCATTATTCATTGTTTCCTTTCCTCCTGAAATTTCTGGACATTGTTGCTATATATGAATTATTTTAAAGTAATTTTAATTATGAGCTTTAATTTCAGCTTTTCAGCCTTTGAAGATTTCTATTTTTTTTTCATTGATGTTAGAGAGAGAGGAAGGGAGGCAGAGAGAGAGAAAGAAACATAGATGTGAGAGAGATAACATCTGTCGTTTGCTTCCCGTACAGTCCCCGAGACCCGGGATCAAGACCGCAATCAGGAATCAAGCCCATGATCCCTCAGTGCATGGGAACTAAGCCACCCAGGCAGGGTGAAGATTTCTCTTTAAAATAAATAACAACTATTCTCATAAAAATCATATATTCTGTAGTTTTTAGCCTTTGAAAATTAATATGTAACTGGTCTAAAAACTGCCATAATGAACTAGTAAAATGGAGATTTCTGGTGGTACAGAAGCTACATGAAAGTAGTTGCTGTTCTATTTTTCTTTCCAGGAACTATCTTGCTAGCAGGTGGCTTTTGCTAATTGGTACTTCCAAGTGCTTATCTATATATTAGAGGCCCGATGCACAAAGATTCGTGCAAGAATGGGCCTTCCTTCCCCTGGCTGCCAGCACTACCTGTGCTCTGGCCAGAGCTGCCTTTCCGCCTTCGCTCCAGCCCAGAGGCCCGGAGCGGCTGGGGTGGTGTGGAACGCCTGTGTCATTTCCATGGTGACAACGCAAGCGTCGCCCTGCCCCCAGCTGCTCCATGCCTGCGTATGCAAATCAATCTGCCATCTTTGTTAGGTTAATTTGCATACTCCTGATTGGCTGGTGGGCATTGGAAGGTACAGTCAATTTGCATCTTTCTCTTTTATTAGTATAGCTATAAAAGCCTAAGTGACCGTTACAACCAAACGACCGAAACAACCTGTCAACCAGTCGCTATGATGCTCACTGACCACCAGGGGGCAGATGCTCAATGCAGGAGCTGCCCTCTGGTGGTCAGTGCACTCCCACAGCCAACCTTGTGCGGTCCCCCTGCCGACCAGCTTCCCATGATCCCTCCCTCCGGCTGGTCCCTCCCCCTGGCCGCCGGCCAACCTCCTGCAGTCCCTCCTGCCTCCCCCCAGCTGGCCTCCATGGGCCCTGATCACCAGCCAGGCCTAGGAACCCCATCCGTTCACGAATCCGTGCACCAGGCCTCTAGTATTGAATAAATGACTTATTCTACCTATAATGCATTCCATTAACTATTATTTGTAGAAAGTACATTTTGATTGATTGTGATATACATCTTGCTTTCCCTGTGGGACTATGATGCACTATTGCCTCCTTGAGCTAAAATGTGTCTGTGATGTCATTGTTTTCTTTCCTACCTCTGCAGTTACATTGGCAAATTCTAATAGCACATTTCCAAGGAAGAATCTTAAAAATTTAAACAGTTCAGTGACATTTCTTTTTTTAGGTTTTTAAGCATAACTTTTTTTTAAAAAAATTACAGTTGAAGGACATGACTGGAAAATAATTCACTAGGATGATAGTACCCTTACTTTTCTCCTCAGTCTATGAATTTCAGCCATCTTTCAAGATTTTTTTCCTGAACTATCATAGCCCCCAAATTTTTAGAATTTGCATTGTCCTTGATTTGTATAGTTTTACTCAACACTACAATTCTATATTTACAATTTTACAACTTAAATTATAGTGGGTTATAGTGTGTACTTCCTTCAAGTTTTTGTTTTTAGTCCTCAATGCTACTCCCACCTTCAAACCTCCTCAGCCCTTGACTCAATCACTAACACTGAAGGAGGTCCAGTAAATGCTTTTTAAATCATTTCTTTGATTATTAACACAAAAAAATTCTATAAGGAAGAATTCCGAGTGATCCCCTTACCCTTCTACTCGCTGTTGTCAGAAATGTGTAGGGCTCCTTAGTATTTGATTCTTGCCTAGTAAACATGATTTCTTAACGCAGGCTTTGCTTCTGGAAAATATTTGTTTTTAAACTTTGTTGTTGAAAGTATTACATATGTCCCTTTTCCCCCCCATTGACCCCTTCTAGCCTGCCACTGCCACCTCCCACCCCAGGCCTTCACACTATTGTCTGTGTCCATGGGTTATGCGTTATAGAAAATATTTGTTTTTAAAAACAAATCTGTTCTAAGATAGAGCAAGCTAACTGAACACATGCCTACCTCACACAATTTAACTGGGTCACATTCACAAAAACTAGCTTTCCTAAAGCATGCTTGAAACCTATATCACTCCTCTTTTGTATCTAAACTTAACCCTGTCTTTCTTTTGTCTGCTTCCTCAAATATATTATTTGCTGTACTACCATTTTCTGTCAAATATTAATTCACTTGTCAACTACTTTTTTTGTTGTTGTTGTTAATCCTCACTCGAGGATTTTTTTCCCCCTTGCTTTTTAGAGAGAGTAGAAGGGAGGGAGGAGGAAGAGAGAGAGAGAGAGAGAGAGAGAGAGAGAGAGAGAGAAACATCTATGAGACACATCAACTGGTTGCCTCCTACATGCACTCCAACCAGGGGTGGGGAGTGAAACACAACCTAAGTATGTACCCTTGATTGGGAATTGAACCCATGACCCTTTGGTGTGCAGGCCAAGTCTCCAACCACTGAGCAATACTAGCCAGGGCACTTGTCAGCTTCTTTTAAAAAGATGTTCTCTCTATTCTTTATTACATTCATCCCCCCAAAAACTGTCTTCATTTAATTATAATTAAGCACCAAACTATTCCCTTGAAGACTGAGTTTGTGAGAGCTGTCCTTTTCTTTCAGTAAAAGCTTCTCAATGAAGTAATATTAACACTTTTAGTTTTTTTTTTACTTTTTAAAAGGGAAACTAATTATTTTAATTGACAGCAATAGGGTTACACTAGCTCCTGTGAATGATTTGTTTAAAAGGTGTTCTTTGTTTATAGGTCATTAGACCAAGTTTGATCTTGAGAAACATCTTACCACAACTAAAAGTCAATATCTAAAAGAAGTCAGCAGCTAAATGTCAACATCTAAAAGAAACAGACGGATCCGTGACTCACGATTGTTGGTTGCTTCATATCTGGCTTCACTGAACTCAAGACATTGCCCCATAGAATTCCTTTCTTTGCCTTCTCAGGGAAGCACTGGCAATTAAGGAATGATTACACTTTATGATTTAGGCCCCTTGGAAGGGATTAAAGTCTGGTGTTAAGCATGAGAACAGAAACTTTCCAAGGAAGCTTTAAATGGAAAGGAAAGATAGCATCCTATCAGGTTCCACCAATCTCCCCCTTTGCCCATATATGAAGCGTCCTCCCACCTGTCTTAAGGGAGTTCCTTGAGGATCCCACCCAGCCAGGCTACTTTGTGTTCAAAATATGACTGACATGGCTACTGCCAGACAGAACAACACAGGTTGTATTCTTTACACATATGCAGAAATCGCAATTCCTATCAATATCCTTTATAACTGGTTCTTCAATGTATTGAACTTTATAATTCAGATCTTGAATTTTTTTCCTGACTGTAGCACTCAAAGATTGTTGTGTTTCTTGTATTAGATAAGACCCCCAAGATACAATAACTTTTTAATCCATCATCTTTAACATTGGAGTTTTACTTCTATTTTTTTAAATAAACTTGTTTCCATGTATCTTGGAAGATTGTCCAAGATTTTCTTCATTTTCACATTATTGAGATATAATAGTCATAATTATTAATATTATCTCTGTATACTTTGAATACAGTGCCTTGACCTGGAAGAGGGAGGAGGGAAATGAAGAAACTTGGCATTAGCTTTACATATTAAAACAAATTTTATCCTCTTCTCTTTCTTTTCATCTCTTCCTTTCTTCTCAGCTTAGGGCCAGGGACTGATGGAGATCAGTGGAGGAATTGAGTGAGGGTGGATGTTTAGAATAATTCAGGTCAGTGGGGCAAAAATAGGAATAAGCAATTAGCATTACTCAATCTAAACCTTTCTGTTGGTGGTTTTCCCCACTTCAAATTCTTCTTGCATGCTTTATTTTCAATGACTATTCTAGTCATTTTAATAGGTTGATATTTAAAAATGAAGTTCATTAATTTCACATTTGTCATATTTTAAAATCTGTATTTGCAGCTTTTTCAACCTTATGGTTTCAATCTGACTGATCCTTATTGTCGACTTTTGGAAAACCAATATAATAGTCTCCATGATCCACATTTAAGAGCATACCATTCACGCAAAGATATCCAGAAGAGATTAAAGGAAGGAGGCTACACCACCAGCATTAACGAAGTGGGTTGAAGATTACTTCATTTTAATCATTGAGGATTTCCAAGACTTGATATAAGCTTTCTCCTATACCTCACTGGGTTAGGGATGGGTTTCACCTTTAACTTGGTCATGAGAGATACTTAATGGGAAATTCTATAAATTACTTAGTATTTTGGGTCAAGGGAAATCAGAAGACAGTTGTTTCTAAATGATGCTACTTCTTCCATCTTTTTTAAATTTGTAATATCAAAAGGTGATGATAAAATAATTTGAAGATATAATTTCCCAACTGTATCATAGTTCTCTTTCTCTGTCTCCAATGGTTCTGTATGCTTGTCAAGGATTATGTCCTATGAAATTTAAAAAATTTGAGACAAAATAGCAACATAGCAAAATTAGCCTGATAGAATCTTTTTTATATATAATCTAGTTTTTTGTTTTGTTTTTCTATTGATTTCAGGGAGGAAGGGAGAGGGAGAGAGATAGAAACATCAATGATGAGAGAGAATAATCAATCAGCTGCCTCTCACATGCCCCCCCTGGGGATCAAGCCTACAACTCAGGCATGTGCCCTGACCAGGAATTGACCATGAACCATGACCTCCTAGTTCATGGATTGACACTCAACCACTGAGCAACACTGGTGGGGTGATAGAATCTTAATAGAACATAAGAATAGTCTTATGTTCTAACTAGAGGCCCGTTGCATGAAGAGATTCATGCAATAGGCCTTCCTTCCCCTGGCTGCCAGCACCGGTTTTCCTCCGGCACCTGGGAGCCAGGCCTTCACTCCGGCTGCAGTGGAGAAGCCAGGCCTGGAGGCTTCTCCACTCTGACCACAGCAGAGAAGGCAAGCCTCAAGGCTTCTCCGCTCCAGCCACAGTGGAGAAGCCAAGCCTCTTCAGTCTTCAGTTGTCTTCAGTCTTAGCTCTGCGCCTGCATATGCAAATCAACCGCCATCTTTGTTGGGTTAATTTGCATACTCATCCTGATTGGCTGGTGGATGTAGCGGAGTGACACCAATTTGCATGTTTCTTTCTTATTAGTGTAGATTTGTATTGGATATTATTATTACACTAGAGGCCCGGTTCACAC